AGAGCATAGGTGGTAGAAGCTTTGGAGAACTGGATACAGTTAATAGGGTCGATTCCCGTGGCTTCTACTCAACTTGTGGTACTGAAACCAAAAAAGGAGACAGCAGAGAAGATTCACACACCAGCTTCCACTGGGATTTCTAGAGGAAATAGATGCTTGTTCTCGGCTTTTTCTACAGCGTTTTATCTCGGTCCTTCTCCAGCAGCCCCCATCGAGCCGCCCAAGAGACACCAGGCACATGAGATGTGTTAAGAGACACAGGAGGTGATGACAACCCGTCTCATTAAAACCCCGTAAAATATTCAGAGGAAACAAGATCACAGGGAAGTCCACCAAAGCAAGAGTGTTATTGTTTGGGGAGGGGAATCTTTTCCCCCTCTTTTGTCTCATATTTGAACTTTCTGCAAGAAGTTATATATAATATAATTTCTTAAATGATACTTTCGTTTATCTGGGAGAGAGGGGTGTATTGGCTGCAGAAGCTGGGCAGCTGTTTGCAGGGGAGGGGCGTGAAGCCGCTGATTAGTGTTTGGTGAGAAGGATGCACTGGCACCCCCTGGCCAGGCCCACAGGGAGGAATATTTAGATTTCATTCACCCTCCAGAAGTCACACAGCATTCTCCCGCCTTTTGTCAGCCTCTGGGGCCAGGGGACCCTCGGCCCGCAGCAGGGCCACTCATTCCCCTGACTGATCAGGAGCTGCGGCCCCCAGAGGGTCTCACCCTCCTCTGGCCACTGCTGAGCCAGCCAGTGCAGGTGCTGGGCTGAAACACCTCTGCCTGTTCCTCCCATTGTGCGAAGAAGGACGAGAAGCCTGGGCACTCTGCTGGGCTGAGTCAAGTCAGCGGGGGCGGACCATGCACGCTGAGGCACCGCTGGCTCCGGTGTCACAGGCCCGGGGCTTGCTGACTCCCAGAGTCTCTACGGAGAAGCAAAGCCTGGGTGCACCTACACGGCGGCCCCGAGCCTGAAGAGAAATCAGGGCCCTCGATGCCATGGAAAAGCCACAGGAGGGCCCTTCCCCTCCTGTGCAGCCTGCTCAGCCCCCTGTGCTTAGTCTCCTATGCCCGTGGTTGACTGTATAGCTCAGTGATCGAACCTTCTGAGCTCGGTGTGTCAGCATTTTGAAAAACCCTAACTTAACTCTGGTGCTGTGTCACATATAGAAATTGTTTGATATTTGCAGCCATAGTAAAACAAAGATATATTTTTGATATTTATTTTATATATTTAAATGCCATTTAACAAAGTAAATCAACCAAAAAAATGAGTTTGCGTGTCACCTCTGACACGCATGTCATAGGTTTGCCATCACTGGTATAGCTGCAGGCCGGCCATTCGGACAGGGGCTGGTGGTGGTTGGCAGGATCTTCGTCTTGTCTGTTTGGGTCTTTTGCACAATCTGCGAGAGTCCAGTGAATGAAAACCAAGCCACTGCTGAGAAGTTAAATCTTGGAAGAATAAGTGTGTAGAAGGACAGTAAATAAGATGGGAAGCCCTATTAGGCCATTTGGGTTGTAAGAATTCTCTGGAAGAAAGGGAGAAGGGCCTCAGCCTTCTCGATGTGTTTCAACGTATCCAAAGGCCAAGTAGCATTAGCGGACTTCCCAGCCCCGTTTGAAGAGTGCTGGGGTGCCTGCGAGCCTGAGAATGGAACACTCCCCCTGCTCCATGAGGGGTCTGTGCCCGCTCTTTATCTCTGGGGACCGTGACATTGGCTTGGAGCTCACATCTCTGACCATAGCAAGCAGCCACGGTGAGTGACCACTGAGCCTCTCCAAGAACACGTCTGGGACTAACCTCCGGTGTCAGTGGAAATTCTCCCTTGCCAGAGAGGAAACAGAGCCTTTTAAAGAGAAACAAGAGTGTTTGGGTTTTGCTTTGTTGCTCACATTGAAGAAAGTCTGTGGCTGACAATTTTCTTTTCCTTTGACCTCTTTAAAAAAGCACCTGGAGTTGCAACAGCTCTGCTGAAATTTTATATGGCCTTTTGCTTCAAGGACTTTGGAACGAGCATTGTTGATTTTTCTTCTTTCCTGTCAACCTCTGTCCTATTCCCCTAGTGGGTTGTATTCACTGCCTGGATGCTTTTGAATATAGTAACTCTCACTACAGAAGGCCTTCTGACTTCCCCTGTGGTCTGAACTATAGGTATGTTTTCTTTCTGAAAATCGGTAAACACGATTGCGATCGGGAGCAGAACGGCTTTGTGGTCAGCAGAAGGGGAGACACCAGGCCCAGAACTGCTGCCCCCTCTGCTGTGCAAACAAGGCTTCTGCCTGGTGTGGAAACATCCGTGTCTCCGGCACACAGACCTCTGTGTTATTTAGGCACCGTCCAGGATCGGAGTGTCTGTTTGTCATCCAAAGGGTATGAAAGGGAAATCAAACATTCTTTCATATCAGGATAAGCCTTGTGCAAACACAGCCCCATGGACAAAGCCCTTTCCCGGGCCCATAACAAGGAGCTGTTTGTCCTGGCTACCTGTCTTTAGCAGACAGAGCAGGGCTGTGCTGAGAGTGGTGTAATGTGTGTTGTTGTGATTTGGTTCTCTTGGGCCAAAGAGTTTCATAGGTGTCATAGGGCAGCGTTCACCATGCGCAAGTAGAATCACAGGGCCCACTGGCAGCCTTCGGCTAGTGCCGCGTCCAGTGGGCTCAGCGCTACAGAGAACCTGACAAAGCAGGTGCACCCAGCCGTGGGAAAGCCACATGGTCGTTTGTGATTGCCTTTGTGCGTGGGGATTCACTAGTCACAGAAGCCAGGATCTGGGCTCCTGTCCGCCGGCATCTGATGTCACCAAAGAAAAAGCCTGCGCTCAGGATAAAATTTCTCCATCACCCTCCCCTAAGCCAGGCAGACATAATACTGCACCTTCTGAGAACTAACGAGGGCTTGGTCTCCTCACCCAGAAATACTTCGATCAATGAAACTCAGGTTTAATTGACCGATTTTTCTGATTCCTCAGTTTCATTGAGTCCAGTACAATAGCCACACGTGGCTGTTGAGCCCCAGAATTGTGGCTGGTTTATGACATGTTGTAGGTGTCATAGACCCCTTGGATTTTGAAAATTTAGTGCCTCCCATCCAAAAAAGTAAAATATCACAGTAATTTTCTATTTATTACATGTTGAAAATATTTTGGCTCTATAGGGTTCAAGTCAATATTTTATTAGAATTAATTTTGCCTGTTTTCATTTCTTGGAATTATTTTCATCAGTGGCTACTAAGAAATGTAGAATCACAGATGCAGCCGGCATTGTTTGCATTGGACAGCGCTGGGCAGGCGCTTGAAGGAAGTGTAGGTGCATAGCGCCATCTGCTGGTCCGTCTCCGGCAAGCTCTATCTAGTGTAAGCAAGCACGAAGCAGTCTGTGCTGGGAAACTCCTGGCAGAACAATGTGCTACCTTCCTTTTCTAGGAGCTTCTGAAACAGAAGCAGAACTGAACCCCAAAGTCCCTAGGGTCTTCAGTAGGGATCCTGGAAAGGGGGGTGTCCAACTACTAGAAGCTGCAGGCCTGTGTTTACCTCATGAGTGCTGAGGAGACTCTAGAAGGCTGTGGTTCTTAAATGTTGCAAACCGCCCCAGTCAAGGTTGTAACCAAGCATTTAACAATAGAAGGAGGACACAGATCCATCCCTCAAGAGACGGGAGTCCTCTCTTTGAATAATGCCGATTGGCTTTGATTTGTCAAGAGTTTGAAAGTGAGACTCTTGCTGATAATAATATCTGCACCAGTTATCTATTGCTGCTTAACAGATCATCCCAAACTTTGTGGCTTATAACAACAAACATCGTTTTAACGCCTTCCACTGTTTTATGGGTCAGGAATTCAGACGTGGCCCATCTGAGCACTTCTGGCTGGGGAACCTCATGAGGTGGAAGTCAGATCCAGGTGACCTCACTCCCGACTAGCTTTGCAGGCAACCAGTGCAACCTCATTCTGCTCAGTCTTTCTGCTGGCCAAATCCTGGAAACTCAACTCAGGTGCCGAGTCTGTGTCAGGGAGGAAGAGGGAGGCACACGGTCAGAAAACCCACGTCCTGGGTGGCTCATTCATGTGACTGGAGGCCTCAGGTCTTCTCCACAGGGGCCTCTCCACAGGGCCTAGCTGGTTTCCTCCACAAAGAGCAATCGGGGAGGCCTAAGAGGAAACGGCAACACCTTTGATGACCGAGCCTCCAAAGTTACACCATCGCTCCTGCTGCACTGTATTGGTCGAGGCAGGAATGTGCATCCTCTCGATAGAAGAAGGTCAAGAAGGTTTCTTGTAAAAGAAAGTGTGAGATGGGATGGCCATGGCGTTTTGGAAAACACAATCTGCCAAAGAGCCTACCACTTGAAGAGCACTGGGAGACTAAAAGGCACGGCCTGTTTTCCAGATGAGCACACGAGGGTTTAGAGAAGTGAAGTAACTTGTCTGAGGTCTCACATCCGGTAGGAATGACAAAAGTCCAGTTCTAGCTCCTTGTCCATGCTGGAGTAGCCTTCCAAGTCACCGCCCTGTCTCCCTTATGCCGTGGTAACTAAGCCTCACACTCACTGTTCCACCTGTCCAGCATCTTCAGGGTGTGTGATGCTCTCTTCATTCGCGTGTTTCAGACCATTCTTTAGGTATCTTTCTATACATAGTTGTTTTATTGAGCTGTGGCTCAATGGAAGCAGGTTTCAACCAGCTAGAGAATCCTTCTTACTAAAGTGCTGTAGCAATGAAAAAGTTCACATTTCCCGGTGTTTTCCATGCTGCTTGCTTCAAAAATCTCAGGGATGATAAGCACCATGTAATTTGTGTGATCACGTTCTGTTTGATTATCTGAATATTACATCGGATTTATACTTGAAACAGGGAAGAATTCATCACAGCTTGCTCTCAGTAGTTCCCGTATTACTTGGTCATCTTCAAAAGGAGGTTTTTTACCATGCTTTGATGTTCTACCTGCCTGAGTGAAAACTAAAAACCCAGCTGCCGTAATCATCATCTGTTATTCTTGGTTCCAGGTCAAACTTCCCTTTCCTGTAGATCAAATCACAGATCTCCCGAGGAACGACTTCCAGATGATGATTAAGATGCACAAGCTGACCTCAGAACAGTTAGAGTTCATTCACGACGTCCGGCGGCGCAGCAAGAACCGCATCGCGGCCCAGCGCTGCCGCAAGAGGAAACTGGACTGCATTCAGAACTTAGAATGTGAAATCCGCAAATTGGTGAGTTGACCCTCCCATTGCTCTCTGCGCCCTGGAGTGACAGGACTGATGCAAAGGTACAGCAGGGAAGGCTGAAGAAGTCAAGGGAAGGGTCGCCATTCAGGGAAGTTTGGGTTCATTTGTAAACAAGTTTCTCGGCAAAAGTAATAGCTTTATATCCACCATGGGTGTGTCTGTGAGGGTGAGTAATCACGTGTCGATATTTTATGTAGAGGTCGTTCTTTCCTACTTTCCATTCAGCGGGTTCTAATAGTTAACATTTATCACATGCACATGTGGACCAGGTATTATTCTGAAGTGTTTTTGTAGGTTAATCCTCACATCGACCCTACGACTTAGGTACTATTTTATCTCCATTCACAGAGGCAGAAACAAGAGAGCAGAGGGGTTAGGTAACTCCCCACTATGTGGCGTAACTCGGCTGCCAACCCAACTGTCTGATTCCAAACCTCGTGTTTTCTCCTGCCCCCCTCAGAGGAGTGGGCTAGAGGTAGGACGCCTGCCTGTTGTGAGGCAGCTCAGCTCCTGAAGCCCTTCCCTGTCCCAGGGTCCTTGATGTTGCAGTTCTGCCTCGACGTGATTATCACGTCCTCCCTATGCCTGAGAGTATTTTGTGTCAGGGAACAAGCTCCCATCCCCCAAGCTTCCTGTCCCTCGGAGCTGTGTGCCCCTTCTTCGTGAAATGCAACCTTAAGCTACAGGCATAGACCCAGGTGGCCTCACTCCTGACCAGCTTTGCAGGCAACCAATGCAACCTCATTCTGCTGGGCCTTTCTGCTGGCCAAGTCCTGACACTCAGCTCAGGTGCCGAGAGTGTGACAGGGAGGGAGAAGGAGGCCACACGGTGTGGTCATGATCTACGCTTGGGTCCTCAGACTGCACGCAGCAATCCTTTGCCTCCTGGTAAGCCACTGTCTAAAGCGAACCTAAGAGCCAGGCGTTTGAAAAGCGTGAACAAATGTTACGAGTTATTTTTTAAGACTTTATTTTTTATATATATTTTTATTGATTTCAGAGAGAGGAGAGGAGAGGGGTAGATAGAAATATCAATGCTGAGAGAGAATCATTGATCGCCTGCCTCTTGCATGCCCCACGCTGGGGATCAAGCCTGCAGCCCGAGCATGTGCCCTGACAGGGAATCGAACCATGACCTCCTGGTTCATAGGTCAATGCTCAACCACTGAGCCACACTGGCGAGGCAGTGTTATGGGTTATTAAGGTAGTCCTGGACCTCAGAGTCCTTTTTATTATTTAATTAACACCCACCAAGCCAGGAAAACCTGCCCATCTTCAGTGGCTCCTGTCATGTACAAATAAAGCCCACACTCCTCAGCGAGACAGCTGGTGCTCTCCAGGAGTCAGTCTGTCTTTCTCTCCAGCACCCTTCCACTCTCTCCCTACAACTTGCCTCCGAATAAAATCAAACTGTCTCACCCTCCAGCATCTCCTACTCTTTACACCTCTGTGCTTGTGCCTCTGTTGTTTCCCCTCTACCTCGGACATCTCCCTGTTTATCTCTAACTCTACCCGTGCTCTTTAAGACACAGGTAACTGTCCCCTCTCTGGAAGGCCCCTTCCTGAGCCCCTGTGAGGCTGGCACCTGCCCTGGAGCCAGTCTGACCTCTGGCTTCCTGCTTGTCACGTTATTAGTCTTGCATTGTCTGTGTCTGCCGCCCCAGCCCCTGGCCCGAGACTGTAGGTTTCGTGCAACAAGGACAGTTAGGTGATCATCTCTGAATGTCCAGTGCAGACCCATTGAAACCTCTCGGGAAATGTCCGTTGACCTAAAATTACAACTGGGTTGTGGAATTATGAATGACTTCTTTCTCTCAGATTTTTCTTTAATGTTGTTTTAAGAACAACAAAACGTTTTTAATTTAAGCCAAGCACCACATTGCTGCTGGTGAGTGTGGGTCTTCTGAAAGCCTGCTGGGCTTAGGTGGGGAACCAGGCCAGGCTGGGCCCACAGGTACCAGTCGGCAAGGTCTTAGTTGGCCCAAGTCTGTA